CTACAATGATGGCACGCTCCACACAAACTTCTGCCACATGGACTATGTGCCTGAACCTCATCTGGATCTTCCTCCTGTTGTGAGAGCCTTGTTTCCTCTTCATCCCTCACTAAGCACTGATTTGGTCTTGGATTTTCTCTTCTGCATAGGAGCTTYTGCTCCYGGCACATGTTGTTCAYGTGGCTCAGCTGCAGTTAGAGTKCCCACAGTGCCTGTTGCTCTGCCGTCCTCCTCCTCCTCCCCCTGAGGGTGCTGTCCAGTGATGAACAGTATCTGACAAATAGTAGACAGGTCCAGCACATTGCATAACTTTTTGGCTCTCTGGAGTCACCACAGCATTTTTCTTTCATATATTTTATCACTTTAACCGAGTAGTTGTTCAGGACTGAACTTCCAAACCATTCGAGCAGTGAAGTCCTCCCACATTTCATACCACTCYTGACTATCCTCCCTCAAGAACGATCTCTTAAAAGCCTTTCTGAAAATTTATTTTGTAATTCTAAACCTGGTGTGGAYSACGTAGTTCTCTGCCAGGACACCCGGCAGGCATAACAAGAACAGGCTTTCCTTAACACCCAAAGRGAATTTAAAATTCTCAAAAGTTGTTGTACCAGGCCCAAAGGAGGAAAAGAGGATGAAAGGTTGGGAAAATCATCCTCCCCTCTTCACCCCACAGGCTGGGCTCGATTATTAATGAATTCTCACAGGTAGCACCCAAAGCCAGGACAGGGGCAGCACTGAAAACACACTCCAAAGGACCCATCACTGTCCTTGATGTTCTCATGTCATAAACTGATATCCCACAGAAAAGCAACAAAGCAACCCTAATTCCTCTTCCTGCTCTGAAAAAGAACATACGGGAATATAGGCAGGGTTAGGTACCACAGCCACATGAACACACCAAGCAACATTGTAAGCAGTGGCTCTGCACATAACACAACAAAGGCTTTGATCACCTTTCAACCAGCTTTCAACCAGTTTTCAACCAGCTCTGGAAAGCTTTGTTGTTATCTCAACCCTCCATGCCTCACATTGGGCAGCACATAAGGCTGTCATGGTTTAAGAACTGTATTCCATGATTTAATACTGAAACCATAGTGGCTCTTGCTTCCCTGCCCCCTCCAGCTGGAAGCACAAAAGGCAAAGACTGTGGTTTGACACAAAACAATTTACTGGAAACAGCAATGAAATAAGAAAATAAACAGTAACCAAAACAGTGACAAAACATATAAGACAAAGAAACAATCCACATGGGAAGTCTGTGACAACACTGGTTGTTTTGCCTGCTTTCTTCTCACAGAAGGAGCTCCTTCCTCTCAGAAGCAAGGGAGAGAGTCTTTTTCCTTTACTTCAGATGGTATTGAATGGCCTCCTAGAAATGCCCACAGCCACTGGGCAATCTCAAGCATACTCATTTGGGACACACCCCTCAGCTACTGAAAAAAAAAAAATTAACTCTATTTTAGCGACTCTGTCCTGGCTGAAACTAGGACAGCCTTCCTGGTGGGGAAGCCTTCAGTGAGGTGTTCGAAGATGGAGGCAAACAAGAGGAATGAAAAGGTCTAGAAGCAGAAAMTTCTCATGGGGAGAAATGGGGAATGGGGCTGTCAGCTTGCTGCAGGGAAGGTTCAGGGATGGCCTGCACATSAGTGCAGTGCTAGTTTGGGAACCCTTTTGTCTATGCTGCATTGAAGTGCCTGAAACAGGGAGAAAAACTGCCCTGAAAGGAAGCAGGGAGGATGATGAGCTTTGCCTCACC